CAATTTATTAGACAAATATTTGTTGAACACATAGTAGATACAAGGTATTGTGCTGTGGGGGTTGTGAGGGTAACAGCGTGTCTTGTCCTTAATAATAAGGTCAATAGTATTAATAGCGTGAATTACTATTTAGTAGGGAAAGAATTATTAAGAAAACGGGAGGCTAAGGCATGAGAATCGCTTGAACCCCGGAGGCGGAGGTTGCGGTGAGCCGAGATCTGCACTGCAGCCTGGGCAACAAAAGCAAAACTCTTATCTCCAAGAAAAAAGAAAGAAAGAAAGAAAAATCAAGAAAAAATAAACCATAGATTTTCTTTTAATCAGATAAAACCGTGTTTAGCCAGAGGAACCCCTCATCTTCACCTATTTATCAAAGTGCTGGGGAGGCCCGCGCCGGTGAGGAGGAAGGGCGGCTCTTCTCGGCAGCACTGCTGGGTGCTGCGGAGGGGAGGCGGGGAAGCCTGTGACGTCCCAGTGTTCCCAGTGCCCTCCTCTCTGGATTCTGCCGCCTTCAGATTCAGCAGCTAATCTTCCTGCAAAATCCCAAACCAAGCCGACTTCTTCATTTTGTGCTCAAACTGTGGACCCGGAGTAACCTGGCCCATTGCCAGAGAAGACCCCAGCGAGCTGGGCCTGGGGAGAGATGTGTATTGATCTCCAATGCTTAAGGGATTTTTAAAGGGTCATTTTGACAGTGGAAGATTGGGCTTCTCCACTGACTTCAGAATCCAAAGCTTTTGCTGGACCTCTCAGGCCTCTGCCTTCGTCCTTCCTCAATCCTCTCTTGCAGGACCCAGGGTCCACAGCTCCTGTTGCCAGCCGATGAGGTGAGGCCGCTTACAGCAGCAATCTGGCTACGATTTGGCTTGAGGTGGCCTTGTCTGTGTGTTTTTTGTGCCCTATATGATGACAGAGGCTGAGCTCTCTGCTGGCAGCCGCCATGTGGGTGACCCACCTTGGAAAGGGACCCTCCAGCCCCCAGTTGAGCTGATGCCGCCTGGAGCAGAGACAACTGGTCCCTGCTGAGTCCCAAGCTGCGCCTCATTCACGAGCAAAATACATAGAAATTGCCAGCTGGGCACAGTGGCTCATGCCTGTAATCTCAGCACTTTGGGAGGCTGAGGCAGCCGGATCACCTGAGATCAGGAACTTGAGACCAGCCTGGCCAACATGAACTCCTGTCTCTACTAAAAATACAAAAATTAACCAGGTGTGATGGTGTGTGCCTGTAATTCCAGCTACTCCGGAGGCCGAGGCAGGAGAATTTCTTTAACTGGGAAGGTGGAGGTTGCAGTGAGCTGAGATCACGCCACTGCACTCCAGCCTGGGTGACAGAGCAAGACTCCATCTCAAAAAAAAAAAAAAAAAAAGAGTAGAAATATGATTGTTGTTTCAAGTACCTAAGTTTTGGGATGGCTTATTACGGGATGTTTATCAACCCTTGCCCTGGACCAAGCATTTCTCAGGATGTGTGACTTTCAGGACTAAAATCCTGACAATCCTGGGCAAACTAGGATGGTGTTCACCCTAAGCTTCAGTCTTCAGTCGGCTGACTTCTCCAGCTCTGTTTCTGAGCTATGTGTGTAAACCTCCATACTTTAGACGAACAATTTCGGACAGAGACAATGTAGCTCTCCACACCCTGAACAAGGTGGTGGTAATTATGTCTGCTGGCCCAATCTTACCCACCCGCACTCTGTGAGCGACCGAAGCAGCTGACTCAGGCACTGAAATGTGGGGGTGGGGGTCCTCCCAGAGCCGCATCCGGGCTACCTTCATGCTTCCTGCTCCTGCCCAAGCAGACTCCCGCCTCAGGACTGTTGCAGCTGCGTGTCTCTGCCTGGAACACTCATATCCCAGCTCCTTTGACTTCTCTGAGTTATCTTGTTTCCTGATGGCCTCTTAGTACCAATGTGAGCCCCACAGGGACCGTGGAGGGGTCGCATCCATACTGTCCAGCACTCAGTGCCTGCTCAGCAGGAGGGGCTCACACCTTGTTTTTTTTAAACAGTCTCCCTCTGTCGCCCAGGCTGGAGGGCAGTGGCACGTCTCGGCTCACGGCAACCTCTCCCTCCTGGTTCAAGCGATTCTCCTGCCTCAGCCTCCTGAGCAGCTGGGACTACAGGCACGCGCCACCATGCCTGGCTATTTTTGTATTTTTAGTAGAAACGGGGTTTCACTATGTTGGTCAGGCTGGTCTCAAACTCCTGACCTCGTGTTCCGCCTGCCTCGGCCTCCAAAAGTGTTGGGATGACCAGCGTGAGCCACCGTGCCTGGCCCACAACGTATTTCTTAATGCTGGAAGAATAAATGAATTGGGAGGGTGCTCAGAGGTTATGCAGGTCCAATGCCCACCACAGCAGAAATCCCCTCCGTGATAACCCTGGCAGGTGACAACCTTTGGCTTAGACGCCTGTAGCAGGGAGAGCTCACCACGTCACAGAGCAGCCTATTCCACTAGGTTTTTAAAAAGCGTTTCACTGTGATATTAAGAATCATCTCCCTATGATCTTTCACGCCTGCTCCCCAGGCCTTCATCACCCTGACTGCCTCCTGCAAGGGAGCTCAAGCTCGCCATATCCTGTGCACTGGTGATGAGCCCAGACAGGTCTCCAGCCCTCTGGATCCGGGTGTCTTTATGCACCCTGAAATGACTTATTTCAGGATGGTGGGCACCAATATATCCTCAGGAATTCTGAAAATTCGTAAAAATGAAGGAAGAGTTCATCTGGTGGCATAGCTTTTTCTTTTTAAACTTAAGATGATGGGAAAAGCTGAAGAAAGTACTACCTCAAATCTAAATCTTATGCAATCTTATCCAAAATAATTTGGATACCTCGGGATCCAGGTTCTGTCTCTCCGATCTCCTATTCAGAGACACCATAAAAGATCATCTCTGATCCTGGGCTACACTCCACTGTTCAACATGATGGGCAGTGGTTCTATTTCTCCAGGTTAGAACCTATCAGGGGAGTGGCTCCACCGTTAGGAACCTGTATGTCCTGTGGGCCCATCTGATTTTATCTCCTCTGAGCGGGTGCAGGATGCCCAGGGGCCATGCAGAGAGGAGAATCTGGGGCAGGTGACCTCTTGTCCTGGCCTGTGAGGCTGGCCCTGTGTTCTCTGAGGGGTCACCCTCTGCAGAAGTATGCTCTCAAGGTGTGGCCTCAGCCAAAAAAACAAACAAGATGAAGCCTCGAAGTTCAGCTCCATTGTAGCTATTGTGTTTGTACCAGAGACTTTTGTCTGGGAGCCGGCAGGAGTCTTGAAGCCTGGTGTTGCTCTGCGTAGGCTGCTGAAATGACAAGGGGACAGCTCAGCTCTGGACAAAAAACACCTCCCTGGACGCTGAGACATCACGCTTTACCTCCAAGTCCTTAACGAGGATGGAGAAAACCACAGAGTGAATGCGGGAACTTCCCGGGACGTCCCTCCCTCACCCAGTACCCCCCGGCATCAGCCTCAGTCCTTTTCATTTTAATCAGTCCCATAAGCCAGACTCTACCTTTCAAAGGAATCCGAGGAACCTTCCTGCCAAGTCCCACTGAGCTCCTGCCACACTGGAGGATGTGGGCCAGGCTCTTGTGTAGGTTAAGGAAGTCTGAGAAGAATAGAGATTATAGGAAACAGTCTACCTTTCTTTACAAGGCCTTGTTTTGCATCCCTGAAATCTCAGATTCAGCTCTTACAATGAAGTCCTGTTGTAGAAAGAGCTGGCCTTTTATCACCACTTAAAATCTAATTAATCCATATTGAAGCACAAAGATTTCTGTTGTATTTTAGGGTGAGGGGTCATAGAGCCTTCTTTGTTCATCCTTAGACTTATAATCATCAGGCATTGGGGATATAATTTTACCAAATTGGAAGGTAACAGATCAAGTGCTTATCAGAAAGCCTAACTCATAGTTTTAACAGAGTCCTTCGTCCTTTACATGAAACATTATATTCAAGAAGAACAAAAACGCATTTCAGAGTGCCCACAGTGTTAATGACCACAGCTTATATTCCAGGCAGCATAGAACCAAGATCGTCACATTACCGCCAACCACAAAAGACAGCAGACCCTATAGGGGTGGCAAAGTCCTGAGACTTGTTGCAATGGCTTTGATCTTTAGAATAGTGATGCAATCTGTTGGACTTTTACTATCTTTTCTGGGATGGATTTTATCCATTATTACAACTTATTTGCCACACTGGAAGAACCTCAACCTGGACTTAAATGACATGGAAAACTGGACCATGGGACTCTGGCAAACCTGTGTCACCCAAGAGGAAGCGGGGATGCAATGCAAGGACTTTGACTCCTTCCTGGCTTTGCCTGCTGAACTCAGGGTCTCCCGGATCTTAATGCTTCTGTCAAACGGGCTGGGATTTCTGGGCCTGCTGCTCTCTGGGTTTGGCCTGGACTGTGTGAGAACTGGAGAGGGTCAGAGAGATCTCAAGAGGCGACTGCTGATCCTGGGAGGAGTTCTGTCCTGGGCCTCGGGAATCACAGCCCTGGTTCCTGTCTCTTGGGTTGCCCACAAGACGGTTCAGGAGTTCTGGGATGAGAACGTCCCGGACTTTGTCCCCAGGTGGGAGTTTGGGGGGGCCCTCTTCCTGGGCTGGTCTGCTGGACTTTCTCTTCTACTGGGAGGGTGTCTGCTCAACGGTGCAGCCTGCTCCAGCCACACTCTCCTAGCTTCGGGCCACTATGCAGTGGCGCAAATGCAAACTCAGTGTCCCTACCTGGAAGACGGGACGGCAGATCCTCAAGTGTAAGACTCCGTCGAGGCCAGAGATGTATCCTGTATCAACCGTGATGACAGAGATCTCTTTGTTTTGCAGCTAAATCTGTGATGCTCACGTTTTCTCATTCAGTAACTATTTCTCTACAGTAGGCAGACCCACTTCCCTCTAAAATCTAGAGAATAATGAAGGAAAAATATTTCATCTAAAAGAAAATGATTATGGTAAGCATTATATAGGTAGAAGTGAAACAAGCTTCACTGATCCGGTTATTGAAATTAATGTGGTGGCTGTCCAGTATAGTCAGTTTCAAGCTTTAATGTGTAAATTTTGTATTAGAAAGCTTTTGTTGTTGTTGTTGTTGTTGGTAGTTAGAAATGATCATTAGTTTCTGTTTCCTGAAGAAAAAAACTAACAATCTGAAAATTTTAAGTGTTCTACTTTAGCAAAGCCACATGCTAAGCCAACCCCAAAGTGTTATTTCCACAGCAACGACTTTTTTCTTCTTTGAACAGAAGTGGTTTATGTTTAGGGTATTACCAGGCACTCAGTGCGACAAGATTTTATGAGGCTGAAGGGTTTTCAGTACCTCGTGATACTCTCAGATTTAAAATACTGGCCGATCTCTTCTCTCATCCTTTCCCTCAAAACCTTCGTATTAAAAAAAGAAAAACAATTCCAAAGACATTTTTCTTAATATCCAGATATTGTCAGGTCATTTGAATAAAAACTTTCCTTTGTTCAATGAAAAATCACTAACATGGGGATATATACTTTAGTGGTGAATAAACAGAAATGCTGATGCCAACCTGCAGAGTCCTAATGCTGAACTCTTTCCTCGACTTAGAAAGTATATATAAGAAAAAAGTGTTTATGCACACAAGCGTAAATTTGACAGAAAGGCATGCAGTTAAATAAACTACATATGTAGTTTGGTATTGCTTCAAATGCCGTGTGGTATATGTAGCCTGAGGAATTTCTGAAACACAGGCCCAAGTTAAGGTGTAGAGATATTTCTGATAAGATTGATTTATTTGGTTAAGAAATACTTTTCTTGAACCTATTTTTTAAAAGTAACACTCAGTATTACCATAACATGCACATTTGAAATGTGAGAACCGTAAGAGATGAAAATCTGACAGGTGCAATTAGTGAGATACAAAGCAAGAGGTGTTGAACCAAAACCATCAGTTAAACATTTTGCATTCAGACTTAATTCTTTGTTAGAAAGGTTGGGAATAACATGAAAACCATTTTAACCTTAACAACGAAAGGAGGATTATTATCACTTAATTATATTTCAGTGACAAACTGCTTTCTGCAAAATCCAGCCCACAGGACACAAACACGATCTTGGCCACACCTTGGCATTACTGGTTTGCAGCATTATTTCCCTATCCTTTTCTGAAACCCATTCAACATGGAATCAAACAATAGCAACTCTGGCAAGAATCCTCCTATATACACAATGAAGAAATATTTCTGAGCTTCATAAGTTATAACACAAGTGTCACACTTCTTTTCACAGCAGCCAGAGGACAGGAGTTAGTTTGGTTAAAGCTCTCAGGACATTATAATGGCTTTAGTATTTAGAACTGTGGCTCAACTAGCTGGAGTTTCATTATCTTTGCTGGGATGGGTTTTATCCTGTCTTACAAACTACCTGCCACACTGGAAGAACCTCAACCTGGACTTAAATGACATGGAAAACTGGACCATGGGACTCTGGCAAACCTGTGTCACCCAAGAGGAAGTGGGGATGCAATGCAAGGACTTTGACTCCTTCCTGGCTTTGCCTGCTGAACTCAGGGTCTCCCGGATCTTAATGCTTCTGTCAAACGGGCTGGGATTTCTGGGCCTGCTGCTCTCTGGGTTTGGCCTGGACTGTGTGAGAACTGGAGAGGGTCAGAGAGATCTCAAGAGGCGACTGCTGATCCTGGGAGGAGTTCTGTCCTGGGCCTCGGGAATCACAGCCCTGGTTCCTGTCTCTTGGGTTGCCCACAAGACGGTTCAGGAGTTCTGGGATGAGAACGTCCCGGACTTTGTCCCCAGGTGGGAGTTTGGGGAGGCCCTCTTCCTGGGCTGGTCTGCTGGACTTTCTCTTCTACTGGGAGGGTGTCTGCTCAACGGTGCAGCCTGCTCCAGCCACACTCTCCTAGCTTCGGGCCACTATGCAGTGGCGCAAATGGAAGATCATCATCAACTGGAGACAAGAAACACCAACCTGAAAAACTAAGCCGGAAAGGACAAGCGTCTGCTGTTCAGGAGATGCTTGCTCAACACTGGATTTGGTAGGAAGTCCCGCTCTAGTCATCTCACTGTGCTTCTGATTTTCGAAAATGCATTTTTTCCTGTGGCTATTAAACTATAGTTTCTTTCCAAGACTGGTAAACGATTTTTATCTTCTACTCTGAGATGAAAACCAATCAAGACTTAATGGTAACGACACCCATTACTGTGGATGAGTGCTCTCAATTTTCAAATAGTGATTGCAGAGAAGTGGTCAATAAAACATTAATCTGTGTGTGTCTTTGAAGGTGTTATTCATATGGAGCGGAATCATTTGGCAGATCGTTGACTTCCTTCAGGTGTTTAAGATGACCTAGTATAATAAGCCTGAGCCGCATATTTATTTAAAATGCATGACGTCTTATTATATAAAATAATGATTAGCTCTTTAAAAGCTTTAGAGGTGAAAGGCGTAGACACATCATCTCCTGAATCAGAGACCTCAGTGTCTCTATGGAACCTTTTCTCAAAAGGCAGCCACGTTCAGTCATGCCTTCTAAACTATGTCAGAAGCAGGAGGGTGATCTTGTGTTTTGGATGATTCAAGTAGACTCTGGCACACAAACGTGCTTCTGCATCCTGTGCTCGGTATTTCATGGGCAGCGTTTCTGGCTTCCCTGGCACTGAGCAGTCTGTGGGGGGCAGGGCAGGGCAGGACTGTGTGTGTGTAGAGAACCTCCTGGGATGGCTGCCTCTCCATGGAGCACGCTGCCAGCCCAGGCGGAACGACCACAGAGCACATACTCTGGAGCCCTTCATTTTATTTGCACAATGAAAAGACTTCGTCCTTTTTTATCAGCAATACATATCGTTCCAACAAGAACTATTCATCACAAACTGCTGGCTTGGGGATTTCTTCGTGAAATATTCTGTATTTGCTTGGTACATGGTTCCAGGAAACTCATGTGTTTGTGCCAATCAGGGAAATAAACTGAACAATAAACGACACTGAAATAGACTATTAGGCAATATGTAGCTTTGTTTTTTGTTTTTGTTTTTTTAAAAACCGACTGAATTTTTTTCCACCCACAAACACATGGAAAGTGCAGAAACCAAAGTTAATCTATGTGATGTATTTGCATACATTTACAAACAAGACAGATTAAAACAGAAACATGTTCAGAATTTAACCTGATTAAATATTAAGTTCAGTCCTGAGCTTTTGATATTTAATACAATATAGATAAAGCAATAGCAAAAAATTTTAATTTATTTGATTTGCATGCTACAGAGATTTAGCTAAACTTTGTTCATTTGGCTAGCAATATCCTTTTTGTACCTGTAACACTTAAGATTCTGATATACAAAATTGTAATAATATAATGATAATTCAAACTTGAGAACTAAATATTACATTCTTTTTACCCTGTGCGAATAAATTCTACCTTTTAAAAATAGTATTTATAATATTAAAATTCGTATTTGTCCATATGGTTTTGTGATCAAGTTATTAAAATGTTTTGTCACTGTGAATCATTTGGGTTAGTACAAATATGACAAGATTATTAAAAGCTGCCTATAAATACATAACACTATTGCTGACTTTTAAAGTGTAGAAAAAGGATTATATTAAAATAAGTTCATCTCTCATGTTAGAAATGAGGAAATCTTGTGAAATACAACAACCAAAAGCATCTTGGTCACAACTGCTAACTACCAGCCTGAGACAGATTTTATTCTTTAATACTTGTCTGAAACTTTTTGTATTACAAAAAGTCAACAGCTAATCTGATGAAAGACTTATAAAGCTGTAAATATTCCAATATAGTCTCTTCTGTGTCAAATATTTAAAATGGCCAGAATCAAACTATATATTAAACAGAACATAAATAAGACTGTAAATAAATAAATGAAGAAAATAAAATCGTACAGAACAACTACACATAATTCTATAGACATTTTCATGGTCAAACTAAGACGCTGAAAACAGCTCACCTTCATTCACCTCTACGTTAAATAAACTTCTGTCTTTCACATTGGACCTCAACAAGGGTGAACTGTATTCTTTTTCTAGTTTTCCTTAGTCATCTAATAGAATGAACTGGGCAGTCTTAAAGGACTGTACTCAGTCAATTCACTAGGCTGGTTTTTGTTCAAAGTAGTGTCTGCCATGTCCAGTTATGTTTTCAAAGAAATTTGTATGTTAAGTGGTGGGACATTTAGGAAAAAATAAAGTTCTAGGCTCAGAAGTTGCTTAATTTGAACTTCGATTCCAATAACATGAACTTTCCAAAATATATCCAATTGCTTCCAGGAAAGTAAAAATTCTTGCTAGTGAGCATTCTTAGGAACACAACTTTTTTGTTCTTTAAGGGGTTCCTTTAAGACAATTTTGGATTTCTTTAAAAAAATCTATTTTATTTGCTATATTAGATGGCTAACCCCAAATTGTTTCTGAGTAATAAGTATGGTTTAAATGGTCTAAATATTATATATTTTAAAAGCTTGATGCTGGCAGAGCTGCACTGAGGATATGTTTTTTTAAGACGTGCCTGGGTTGGGTAAGGTGAAATTCTAAACTGGAGGACACATTAGTCAGTTTCTCTCTCTAAACTTGTTCATCCAAAAGTCATTTTATAAACAATTTAGCTTATACTTCAAATTAATAATCCCCCCAGGCACATTCTTCCCTTTGCCTCCGAACTATTTACCATAAATTATAGATAGAATCCTCTAAAAATGAGAGCTATGAAGTAATTTCTACTAAATGTTAGAAATCTCTTGATAAACTCGTTTGTTTTTGGCAACTTTCATTCTATCAAGACATCTTTTCCCCTCTTCTTGGTTATACCAAATGAGTGCCGATGCGTTTCTCTCCACACCTCCCGCTTTCTCTGTCCTCAGAACACAGGGCCACCACTTGGTACCATCCTTAGATTCAGGGCAAAACACTGGTGCAAGCCAGAAACTCACATTCGAACACTTATGCAAATTCAGGCTGAGTGAGACAAAGCAGCCGCTCATTTGATGAGCTTATTTGTATCTCTACATGGCTGGTGTTCTTTCTTCTCCTTGCCCTCAGTGTCATGAATCCCAAGATCTTTAGTGTAGCCAAGAGCAGTGCTCCTTTGTATTCTTATTCTGAAGAGCACTTGGTAGTTTATATTTTTGTTTTCTTTAGAAAAATATAAAAGGACAAAAAGGAAATTGTTTTAAGGAAACCAGGTGTTCCCGCACAGGTGATGGCCATGAACGCAGCATCCATTTTGGGTGGACTTTGGAACGCCGCACCCCAGCGACTGCTCACACTGCCTCCAAATGGAAAGCGCTCCGCTCCTTGCCAGCGCACAGATACCATGTGGCGCTGCTGCCATCGGCACGGCCTACTCACAGGAACACAAGGAGAAGCAAGACCACCTGCTGAACCAAGTTGTCTCTCAACAGTCGGCTCAACAGTACACACGTGGGGTAGTACTGCCTCCATCCCGTGTTTACAAAATAATGCCCACTGGCAATGCGCACATTCTGGGCAACATTTGTGTACCAGATTATCCCATTTTTCTTATCTGATTTTTTCTTGTTTAAGCACATAAAAATTACACTCAAGATACTTTACAAATTAAAATTAAAATGTTGAAAATCTGACGTGAAATAAAAGTTCTTCAAGAGTTGACAGTTATGTTACCAAAAACAACCAAACACCAAAACAAAAAAACAAATCTTCAGTCTTTTACCCTCCCTAAAAAAGTGAACAGGTGACAAAATAATTTCTTAAACCCTGTAATCACACATCGTCAGCCGGCAGGGACGGGATGCTTATCTTTGCTCTGGTGAAGTAGGCAATCTTCTCCCTAGAGTTGGGGTGAGAAATAAATTGACTTAAATATGATGCTAAAAATACTCTGGGACCATTAAAACAGTCCCCAGGACGTGCAGTGGCAGTGATATCTCTATAAGCACAGGCAGAAGCTCTTTTCTTTATGCAGAACTCCATCCATTTAAAATCGAGAGAGTCTCCGCCTGCTAAAGGGAGGACAGAACAGCAGCTCTGGCTCACGGAAGTCACCTACAGACCAAGCCAGTAAGTTCCCTTCAGGGAACTTCCAACGGAAGACAGTTTTTAACTAGTAGGGGTCTGGTCTAGGATGGGTGTTTCCAAACTAGGCAGTGGAAGACTCAAAAGGCCCAAAATCCTACGTGGAAACTTCTCAGTAACCTCACAGAAAAGTACATAATACCAGGAAAAGTCTTTAAAATCGATACCGTGCTGAGGCAGGGACAACCTGATGAGTGACACCACGACTCAAATGAAAGAAGGAGGAACTCACTATCTGAAAGGCAGTAACTGCCCTGGTCCCGAAGCAGCAGAGAGGCTGAGTCAGGGCAGAGTGGTTTTCAGGTGAGAAGAGTACTTAAAAAAAAAAGACAAACAGTACGTCTATTTTCCTACAGAACTTCACACTGTACATTTATGCCGTCAGCGCGTATTTCTTGAGGGCATACAACATGCAAGGGGCACACTGGTAGCTGAAGAATCAAGCACTGGCCCTCCTCTGTGAAAGAACAGTCTAGATGGGGGAGGAGGCGCGGGCTAGAAACCAGAGCTGAGGAGAGGATGTTCTGAAGACTAAGGAAGGACAGAGGAGAAGAGGAGGAGTGGAAACACTGGACACTGGAGCGAGCTACTGCTGCGGGCAGTGTCCTTTACATTTGTTCACTTCCATAAGAGGGAAATGAGAACGAAAATCGCCCCGAGTGTGGGCGTGATGTCAGCAGAGGCCGTAAGGCGCAGCTGGTAACTGGGGTGTTTAAAAATACCCGCACTAGTTGCCAGTGCCTGCATTTGAGATATTTCACATAAAATTGTTGATTTCTAACTTCTCTTGAAAAATTAGAAGGCCAGGGACCATCAGGCTCCTGATTCCAGGTGAAATAAGCAGCTGGGGTGGTGCCAGGCAGAACGCCCCAGGCCCCACTGCTGCCCAATCTCACCACCCCAGGCCAGGCACCAGCAGCCGCGCAAATCCCACGCTTCCAGCGCGGTCTATCTCACCCTGACCATCTCACCATTCTCATCACTTGCCTGGTGATACAATGGTTTCGTATCTTAAGGGAAGCTGGGAATGTTCATGGATTCTTTGCTTCGGGCTTCAGCAACAACTGCTAGTTGTGTGACTTTCCATGCCAGGCAATGCTGCTTACTCTCTAAGTGACCACAGCACCAGGGGCATGGATGGACTCCCCTCACCTGCAGTTCTAAAACCCAAGTAGTGGCACTCCCTGAAAGTCACAAATGTGATTATTTAGCAGAAAAGAGGGCGGAAAAACCTCTCCACTACAAGATGCTGCATAAAAATGAAGGAGCTGTGAGCCCACTAAGGCCCACTGCTGCTGCCACATGTGGCCCTGCCCTCCCGCCTGGCACTAGACCCCAGCGTGCCATAGCTGTCCCTGCTCCACCACGTGACCTAGCTTCCCCACACTTCAAAAACACTCGCTTCTTCCAGGCTTCTCCCCTTTACACCTAAACGTTTTCTAAAGACTCGTCCATACAAAACCTCAACCAAAACCAAATAAAAACCGAATAGGAGCAAACCTTTTTGCTGAGCTCCCTCCGACGGGGTTGAAAACATCTGCTGTGCTCACCAGGGATCCTGGGTGCACTTTTCAGTTCTCTTCATCAATCTCCTCTCCCCATCCTCCAGCCCCAGGCTCCTGGTTCTCCTCTGACCTCTCCAGCCATTCCTTCTAGTATCTCTTTTGGGGTGAGCCCTTCAGTGACTGGTGCCCACCTTTCCCAGTCACCTCACATTTTCTGGGATGTCTGGTCCATTTCCACTGATGAGACCAGTGCACTGAAGATGAGCACTCCCATTTTTTAATCTCCATCCTGACCCCAACCCTGGCTTTAGATTTTTATTTTCACTTGTCTGCTGGTCATGGTTACCTTGCTGGCCTGCTGGCATTGCCTGGTGTGCCATGGCAGAGGTCAGCATCCTCCCCACACCGCTGCTCCCCAGCGTTCTCCATCTCAAGCGCGGGCACCATAGGACAGCCACTGCCCCCCATGAACCTCCCATGAACCTCACAGGCCACCCTTACCCATTTCTCCCCAGCCCACTCTCCACAATGCCTGATATCTGCCCCACATAGAACCCATTCCCATCATTTGGTTTTGTGCATGGAGAGCCCTGCTGGCTGCCCCATCAGAAACCGCGAGTGGAAGCCTCTTCTGCACAGCTTCCAAGGCCTGTGCAGTTTGAGCCCAGTTCTCCCAGACAGGCTCACCAGCTGGCAACTCCCCATGCGCCAGAGCTTGGCACTGACTTCTAAGGTCTGTGCCTCTGTCCGTGCTGTTCTTCCTGCCTCAATGTCCCACTCAACACTGCCACCCCTAGGTGCCTAAGGAGCTTGCAGCCATCCTTCCATGATGGGTTCTCTTATAATCTCCTCCTCAGGTGCCCGCAGCCCCAGCACCTGCCCCATACGGATTGAGGCTCCTCCCACATCTCTCACAGGTCCCTACACATACCTTTAGTGAGCTCTTTCCACACACACTGCAATGACCTGGTTACCTGCCTGTCCCCACTACAGCCTAGAGCCCCCGAGAAGAGCAGAACACCCATGTTCTTAGCCTCCGCATCTCAGGGCCTGACAAGGTGCAAGGTTTCTGGGGCTGCCCAAGTAATGTCTGTGAAATGAGTGAACAAAACCCCGAGTTTTCTGTACCTTTGTGTCCTGGGTCAGAATAGTCCAATGAGATGTGCTACTAAGAGCTGGGGACACCCTGGGTTCTTGAGGGGAGTTAGGCTCTCATCAGCCTTTAACTCTGCCAGTCACATTTATCACCTCAGGTGCAAATGGGAAATTACATATTCAAGGCAGGGAACACAGGATTTCTGTCTCAGATCCTAGTATTAACTTTCACTGCACTGAGGTGAATTCCTACACAATCAGACCACATGAGGGCAACCCAAAAGCTGTCCTGGATGGGGCTATTCACCTGAAGGACTGCACCTGCCGAGGCACCTTCTGGCTCTGCTCCCGGAGCCGACACACATCCTTGGAGACTTGCCTCATCAACTTCTCTGCATTCAAACCTTGCTTCTGCTCTTCTTTGGACTGTTCGGCCTGGAAAAGGGAATAAAAATGTAAGAAAAACACAAAACACTGATTAGAAATCCCTGGAGACAACCTATGAGGCTTGAAAGATTGTGAC